ATGGCCTTGATACCAGTTTGTTTCATTTCTTTTCGGAAATTTACCAGGGAATTTGATGTGTGACGCTGCTTTGTCCTGATGGAGTTCACAGATTGATGGCACTGTGGGGTAAAGGATAGTATTTCATTCAGAAAAATTGCTAAAAATATGTTCCTGATAGTATTTGGAGTTAATATTGACATTTTTTTGCATCTCTTATTTTTAACTTGATTATAAGAAAAACCACACAATCAGGAATCCCTTGGAAAAACTTTCTTCGATTCTTTGAACCATGTACTTAATTTTTTTTCTCCATTTTATGATAATAAATGGCTCTTTTTGTTACAATTATTAAAAACACCCATGCTTATCTATTGTGACAATTGTTTTCAATTTTTTTTTTTTTTTTTTTGATGTTTCTCATACAGAATTCTGCAGGTGTCCTGCGTTGAGCGATATGCTTTGAAAGAAGACGATGCACATTGCATTTTTCGCTCTTAAGATTTATCAACGTATATTTTGTTACAGTGGACACCGAGCATTTTAATGAATTTGCAATGTCCTTTTGACTAGGAGAATTTTCTTTTAACATTAACAACGTACCTTGCAATAGTCAAGATGTCCATTTTTTTCCTTGGATACTGTTTGGAATTTTTGTCCCACTTGAGGCCAATTTGACATTTTTCCTTTCTTGTTGATGATATCCTTTAGTATCACAAAACCATACTCTCTCACATCATTTTTGGAAAACAGAGTATGCATACTTATCTTCGGAAAGAGCGTAATGTAGCCTTCGAACCTGCTTTTAATTCGCCATTTTGAATCAAAAAAAACTTTCAAGCCAAGACGATAATTTGACTTTTAAAAGCATAGTACAATTGCAATTTCTTTTGCCAGCAAACGATTTTTATTACCGCTTACCAAAATCGTCTAAAAAATGTGCGAACAGCCTCTGTACATGAAGGTCAAAAGCCACATGACTTAACCGATAGGAAAATCATTACCATTTAGCATCTCTACTGGCATTTAAAAATTCAAATAAACCGTTCCCTTTTTCAGTTATGCATATGCGACGCTGGGCTCCAATCTCTATGATGTGAAGAGTAGAAAATTAAGGTTATGTTATCACTAGTCAAGACTCCTACATAATTCTTTACATTGCTATTGGTAAAAAGACTTCTTAGATCTCTCCATTTCATTTCCAGTCTTGGACAGAAAATCGGGAGAGCTTTTTGTTCTTGGATTCAGTCTCAGACTCCGGAGTGAACGTGAGATTTTTATTACACTTTTCCTTTACAACAGCACATTCCATGGGCTCACTGGCCGGAGCCCTTACTCAGATTGATAAATATACAATGCGTAGCGCGTAAATACCATTCTGAGGGTGTAAATAGAATTTCAGAAAAAACAAAGTAGTTTCAGTGTGTTGAGGAGTAGTGCAAATCATTCTGCTTTCTGAATGGGAAAGGAAATTTCATTAGTGGGAGGAGCAAAATGATTTTGAGCAAAGAAGTAATGAAAACTGAAAGGAGTAGAAGTGGAAAGAGCGAGTCTCATTGTCGGCTAACTGTCTGTATCGGCTAAATATTCGCGACCGATACCAGTCTTACACCAGAAATTTTGGTTGGGGGGGGGTAAGGAATGTGAACTGGTCATGCTCATGTTAAACACATATACCTGGCAATCTGACCGATCATCTTTACATACAGTTGTGTTAAGACCTGTCATCAGAAGCACCCTACAGCTATTTTTTGAGTGATGCAGCTACTTACATGTCTTTATATGCAGTTTTACATTGTCCTATGGGACAATGCACAACTCTACATTGCACTCAACATCCAAATACTTCCTCAGTACACAGCAAGTTACAGTTCTGCCATGACTTCCTTATTCATCAGATCTTTTCCTCAATGAACACATCTGGTTTATGATTTACATGATAAAGATCTCCAGAAAGTACAACTTTATGGATAAACTTTCAAGATTAATTACAGATATCTGGACTGCAATATTCCAAAATGCCATTAAATGTTTTTTTTTTTTTTTTTTTTTTTTTACTATATGCATAACATTTATTATTGTTCTTGGCCATACTAATTACAGTACATTCTGTTAGTTCAAAAGTCCAGAAATTTTAAAGACCTCATCCTCATATTATAAAATGAATTGATAAAATAACCTTTGTTGTGTTATCTTTTGTCCTTGATGGTATTTCAAATTTAACAGGCAAAGGAGAAAACATATAAAATATGAATAAAATTATGATATGGCCTAGATTTTCTTTAACTATAAATGTTAACACCTAGTTTAATTAATTAGAACAGAAATTATTGTATAATAATCCTGTTTACATGATGAAGAAAAAGCTATACTTTTAAAATAGTTTAAAACTAGAGTTTCATAAATTGACTTAAAATTAAGATCACCCTCTTCCTCACAAGGAAAAAGTTAAGACATTTTTGAAAGCTGCCTGTTAATTTCTTAATAGCACAGTCAGGACAGAATGTTGCTAGATATAACAAAAATTAACCTATGGTAAGTTGCCTGTTAATTTCTTGACAGCACAGTCAGGACCGAATGTTGTTAGATATAATGAAAATTAATCCAAGTCTAAAAGTTTTGCGAGGAAATTCCTTTTTGAAACAAAAAAGTGCAAATTTACACTTTCAACCATTCTTTGTATAGTAGAAATGCAAACAGGCATTTTCTAGCTCATTGTTGCATTATAAGGAATTTTCTCTCCCTTCACCATGTGCCTTTGCGGTGTAGTTGGAAAGCACATCAGGCCAGCATCAGAATCCCAGTGTGGGCAGTGTTAGTTGTTTCAACTTTCTTGCTCAATATATAAATAAATAAATAAAAGTCCCAATGATCTCTACCATCATGCCTGAACTAAAATGCAGTGGACAATAATTTGTCACCACCATGATTTGGTGACTGGGTCAAGTCAACCCTTTAAGTGAGAAGAAACTGTCCAGAATTTTCTGCCTCTTTGCTAAAGGTTTTCATGGCATAATTGGAAAGCACATCTACCTAGCACCTGAAGTCACAAAGTTTGGAGTTCTGAATCCTGAAAAGGGCACTGCATGATGCTTCACCTTTCCTGAACCCCACCCCCCAAAAAAAATTCCTTATGGTCTCTACAGCATTTATTACTTGCTCAATCGGACCATGAAAGATGAGAAATGATAATGAAGTTTCTGTAATCTGCCTTTGTTCCATACAATGCCACCATTTTACCACACTAAATTGTGCAAGTATTGGAACTTTCTTTACTTTTATGAATATCCACCTTGTAAATAACCTGCATTGTGACTATTAAAACTTACAATAGCGACAATATTTCTCATTCTTATCAAATATTAACTATTGAATATTTCTCACGAATATTAATAAATGCGAAAAAATTCACACTTTTTTTTTACAAGGTACAATCTGAAATAACACAAACCAAATTTTACTTTTGTAGCGCATAAAATAACAGTTAATGTAAGCATAAAATCAAATTTACTTTCACTAGAAAAACTGACTAACATGAAGATGCAAGTAGTTTTCCCAGGAACTCTAAACAAATAATAGAGGAAATAGTCTTGGAGAAAGGATAACATAAAACAGTAGACGTGAAACAAACTACTGAATATTGGGGATTAAAAATACTGAAATTTATTTTCACAGTTAAGAAACCAGTAATAAATACAAGCTGACATTCTAAAGCGGATTCACACAAAGATGTAAAGGACTTCTCAGAACCAAAACAGTGCTGTAAATCATTTCACAGAATAGGCAATAAGACAGAAGTGTTAAACTCAGCTACTAAAAAAAAAAATTGTGGAATAAAATAAATTCTGATTTTAATCTTTTACTGAAGTAAGATCCTCAAATACTTACCTAAATACACAAAATTGTTATGCCTCATAAGTGTTCAATGGAATGAATGACCATTTCATTGAAATACTGAGTGAATTACAGCTCTTAATTTAGAGGACTTTTTTGGTAACTTTGTCATGAATTTAAAAACAGAACAAAAAGTACAGACTCAATTATGAATAAAACTCAGTAAACCTGCCTCAAAAATCATTTAAATGCTGAAAACTGCTACTGCAACAAAGTCTTTTGTTTTATCAATGTTTTAGTTTTGCATAATCAGTCCCATGATCATTGGGATGATGTGGTGGATGGCTCTAGAGATCGTAATTTCTCAATCAGGCCAATCAGTGATAATATTAAACAAGTTTGACAAAAACTCAATAAAGCATACAGTCACTGAAGATGATTGTTTTGGTTTAAGATATGCTCTGCTGGTTGTGGTTCAGAATTTGAATACAAGTTTTATGGAATCCATGCAACATACACTCACGGCAAAACAAAGGTATGAGAAAGGGTCATATCATGTTATAATTGGATAAAAATGACTGATAGGATCCTAGATATTTTTTAACAAGCTTATAATTGATAATTAATCATGCTTTAAACGTATGATCAAGATATGAAATGACAGTCCTACATATGGATTGGATAAAATTCTCCAAAACCAAAGACAAATTGCAAGTACAATACCCAAGAACTGTGATTGCAATTGCGTATACAGTCATTCTAGAACACATGTTAAAAGACAACACAGCTAACTGAATGTAATGAATGGTTCCTACCCATGGCTCCAAAGTGAATGCTCTCCAACAGTTTTAGCATAGAAGCGATTGACTTTTGCTACATTCAGCACCATATCTTATTTCTGAAACAAAAGTCTTACCCTGAAGTGACAATACTGTCGACTTCATTTTAAAAACTGAAAAGCTCCGAGGAAGCACTTAAACATAATCTCAAAAGATTTCCATAAAAACATACAGTTGGTTGTGCCACTAAATGTGAGGTCTTATGAATGTAAACCTTATGAAATATGTGTACTGAAGACTAAAGTATTAAATATTTATACTTATTAAGCCAGTTTAAAAATTCAGTACATACATTTTATAAACACATGAATACTTAAAAAGGTATCTAAAATATCCATCATATCATACCACTTAAGTCTGGCTTAACATCAACTTCTTCATCCCCAGCAGAAGTAGAAGCCACACTAGATTTGTCTTTTGGCATTGTGGACAAATTTTTCTTGCCAGCTATTTCCAACTAGAAATTACAAAACAAATAGTTATGCATTGTGATTTAAAATGCTTTAAAAACAGTTTTTTGATCTACTAATATATTACTAACTTCTATTCTAAGCTTAAAAAAATTGAGAAAATGGAAACAATTTTTAAATGAAGCAGGAGAGAAAGTATGAAAGTATGCTTAATTTTATTTTTATGATTATTTCAATAAAATCTTGTTTTAATAAATAAAATACTTATTGAACTCAAATTATCTATATTCATTAGATTAGCAAATGCTTTTAAATTATTATTCTTATATTATTATTAGTATTTTTAGCACAGAATTCAATGCTTTGGTCAGAAAGCACTTTAAAAATAAACATGTTAAACTACATGTCATTTACATAGGAACAACTTACAGTTATGGCAGTAATTTTATTGTGGGGGGAGTGCAAAATTCCTGAAGTGGTTGCAAAATTATGAAATTTTAGAAAATATTAATAGCTTAGGATCTGCATTATTCATTTTACAGCTGCTAAGTATTAACACTAATACTGCATCTTCCAAATTTCTCCAGTTGCACATAGCCAATAACTTTGCCGGAAGCCTACAAGGGCCAGAAATGGTGGCAATTTCATTATGGAAACACCTATTTATGGCCACCATTGCCAAAAGACATTATGCCTCCTATGAAGGGACAAACAGCTACAACCACGCCTTCTCTGTGATTTGAACCTGTCCCCATTGTTATGGCAGCCAGGGTCAATAACCACTATATTGACTATAATGAATAATCACTATAATGACAGGGCGGTATAATAATACAATTAACTAATATGTAACTTGGGTTCAAATTCTGGTTATGTGATTGATTCTTTTTCTTTAAGGTAAAATTTTCAAAAAAGTACATGAAAACTGGATGCATAAAATGGAACTCTACTTAGCACATAACTTAAGAAAATAATACCTTAGTACAGAAGAAACCTAGAAAAACTGAGAATTAACAAAAATTACGGCTCAATATCCTGTTTTGATTTTGGAATATGATTACTTTGCAGAGCATTTTTTTACATAAATTCTAGTGAATGATATTGCAGTTATTTAAACATAAAAAACTTATCTAATATACAGAGGTTGGGTAAAAATATGGAAACACCCAAATAAAAACATACTGCTGTGACTAATAAGGTGTAAGAAAACTGTTGGCATTCAAAACAATTTGCAATCTTCTCAGAATAGATTAATAAAAGGTCTTGTATGCTTTGCAAGGAAATTTTATATCATTCTTCCTGTAAAACACTAGCAAGTTGTGTTAACGCTGATGGCAGTGGATAGTGCTCATGTAGACCCCATTCCGGATATGAATTCCTGGGGTATTTATAGGATTCCTTGCCAGTGTGGTTTAATTTACATTGGCCAAACTAAGAGAGCCTTAAAATTTTGCATCAAGGAACATGAAGGCATATGTTAGAAAAAAGGAAAAAGAAGTCTTTGTTGCCCAACATTGTTGGTCCGAAAATCACACTTTCAATTTTTCTGCTGCCAAAATTATTCAAAAAACATCTTCCATTGGAGAACTGGATTTTTCTAGAGGCATTTCACATTCAAAAAAAATCTTTCTGTTCTAGTTAACGATCCTAATTCCAATCCATCTTTGTCTTCGGCCTTTAAAGAAATTATGTTTTAGTTCTGGTTTCATCAACAGATGGCGCCACTAGCTTATTTTCTGTCCAGGCTTTTTTATCTTATTTGATCATTATATCCAATTTCATTTCTTTGTGCTTTTTGCAGCTGAGGATGGTGGTTCGGTAAAACCATCGAAACTAGTCCCGTGAAAATTTGAAAATGTAACGCTGATTTTTGTTGTTTGACTTCTGAATTAGTATTTGTTAGGCGTGTTATGTTGTCTTAATTATGTAAATATTTATTAAAATTATTTATAAATGTATTTGAAATGAAGGACTTAGTCATTCATAAATTCCTGTATTATAATTATGAAAATGTATAAAATTTATAATGATTATAAATAAGATATAAGATAAAATTATAAATCTGATAAGTATAATTAAAAAAATTATTCCCTTACATTTTATAATATAATAACTGAGTTACAAGTTTTAAATAATATTTTTAAAAAAAACTTTTTTATTCTCTTTCAGAAATATTCAGAGAAAGTTAAGTACATGGAAATGAGCACCAATATTTAACGTATTTCACCATTAAAATAAAAGGTCCTCTAATTTGAAATGGACCGAATACAGCATTAATTGACTTAGATTTTTCGATTTAAAAGATACCTCAGAAGCTAAAAAAAAAATCATGTCATATTTGAGAAAGTATGTTAGGAAGAAGATAGGAAAATTCTCTATAAATAGAAAAGAAATAATGCATAATTTTAATATTAATAATACAATAAACTTTGACCTTATTTTTTGCAATCCTTAACTGAATCAAATTACCTTATTTTTTTTTACTTTCACTGACAAAAATTTGTGAAAACATTTCATTCAAATGCACCCGTTCTTAGCAAACTGTTCTGGGAAAAGTATAACATTTGATTCCGTTCAGAATGAAATGTTATTTAAAAATGTATTCTTTTCACATACTTAGGACTCTGAAATAGTATAGAAAAAGAAAATATATACATTTATATGTATATTTACGACGTAATTACAAAATGTTTACATCCAATTATGTCAAAACTCATTGATTTTAATAGTAAGTCACTGAATGTTTCGGTCAGTAAGAAGGGATCGCCAGTGCTTCAAAGCAGTGTATGGGGAAAACCGGTTAGGGCCTCTCCTCCTACTTCCTACCTCCAAGGAGCCTATCAATGAATATATTTCACACTGATTAATGACTTCATGTGATAACTCATTATCATAGTTTTAAATTTTTTAAACCATTTACTATTAATCAGAACCACAATCTTCAGAATTTTTTATAAATAAAAGTATCATTCAATTCTATTTTTTAATCCTTTCAAATTTGAGGTGATGTATGAAAACCATAAACTAGAAACCTTGCATATTCTTGTTCATGTACTGTCTATATGTGTTAAGAAGATCCCATTTAACACTATTTCACAGAGCATTTATTTTCTGGATATGCATTCTGAATGTTCACCAATATATTAGCCTATTTAATTATTATTTGTTTTTTGTTTTGCACATTTTGTCATAAACACTGGTTAAAATGTTTGTAAAAAATTTATATTTTTACTATTTTAAAAATCTGCTGTATACATATTTTTTCACATTTCCTTCTGTGTTAAAAAATAAAGGATTCAAAACTTGGCTTACTTAAGCTCAGTACATTTTTCACTTTTTACAATATTAAAAATTGGACATGTATAATGTAATTACATGCCCACTTAAATTATTGTTGTTTACATGTACACAATACACTCTGAAATTATTTTTTTAAATTTTGTTCTTGAAGTCCATAACAATGTTGGAGGTTGAGTTACGTCGTAGTTTAAGTCATTTATTGAATTTGGAATTACAATTTTTAAACATCTCATAATTTTCAGAAATGCATTGGATTTCTTATATTAAAACTTGGCCATTCCCTTCAGAATGAATGGAATCAAGATAAGAGCATCCCGTTATAAGTTTTAGCTTATAAGTTACGAACCTTGTTGCTTTCAACCTGATTATTTGGTTCTTCTTTTTTTTTAAAAGAACTATTCCCTCCCCTTTTGTAACATTTACAATTTTTGATTTCTGCTTATCATATATGCTTTCTTGTATATGGAAAGTTTGAAAACTTTTATGGTATATTAGTACAAATTTCTACTCTTAAATTAATGCTACAATTGTACTTAATTATCTAGCATTGGAATGAATATATTATTTTTTACTTGGTTGTTAAATTAACATAGCTTAATTTTCCTTCTTTATCTCTATCTGCACGGTATGTCCCAGATGTAATATGCCAAGCTTCTTTTTTTTTTTTTTTTTTGTGTGTGTGTGTGTGTGTTTATTGATCCCATTGATACAATCATTTAAAAATCTTCTGTATGACCCTCCTGCATCAAAACGTTTTTCACAGCAAGACTTCCATGAGTTGAATGCCCCCTAGAAGTCCTGAATGAGGATATCCTTAAAAAAATCTCGTAGAAGTCATTTTGTTATTGTCAATAGCATTTTTTTTTTTTTTTTTTACCTTTGGAAAACAGAAAGAAGCCTGGTGAGGCCAAATTGGGACTGTAAGGTAGTTGTGGATTTGTTGTAGCCCTGATCCAGGTCCAGGTAAGTTATTGTGCATGACAAAGGTCGTGTGGCTGGGAGTGTTGTTTATGCTGAAGCATCCATGAATCCTTTACCTTGCTCTTGATGAAGTTGATCCTTTTGTTTCAGTTATTTCAAAGAATTTAGTGTGTCACCAACAGGGCTGTTGAGTCGGAGGAGTCAAGCAGATTTGGGGGTGAGCTGCAGTTGCTAAAAACAGATCGACTCTGCCTCCAGTTTTTGTAGGACAGTTTGAATTTGAAATGAAATTAAAATGAATTGAAAAAAATTAATGACAAGTTGAGTTATTATTTTTATTTATGAACCGTATGCATTAATAAATAGTTATTTTCTATTTTATTGACATATTAATAAATAAATATAAGGGAGGAGGATGGATGTGATATTTGCCATAAGTGATTAAACTGATTCATTTAGTTACAAATCTCACTGGTAAATTTAGGTAAGCAGCAATAGCACAAAGTTGATGCCATTCTTAGGAGGCAAGCAGGAAAAGGAGCAATTATTGATCAAGCAACGCGATAAGGAAGTACATATTTGATGATAAAGAGAACTTTTTTAAAAGATACAGATAGCCCTAATGTTTCACTAACAGAAAGACTGTGGAATGATCTTGCAGAATTGGCAACTCTTCTTTCTACAATGTATATAGCCACAAAAAGCTGCAATCTGAAGAATTGACAGGAGGCAAGAATGGAAGAATGGGATGTTTGTTCTTTCTGAAATGGAAGGCTTATTGCAGAAGGAATCATTTCTTCAATGAAGAAAAGAGAAACTAGTTTGCTAGACAATGAGATCCTGCTGGATTCAATATATGTAGATCCGAAACACAGAATTTCCTTGGATGACAAACAAATTAAAAAGGCAAAGAAAGGCTTCTATGAACTTTCATTAAGAATGAAATTATTCTCAGAACAATTGGAGAATTCGAGTCAGGACAGTCAAACTGCAGACATTGCAATTGAGTCGCTATCATCCTCTTCCAGTGATGAATCACATTTTGAGAAATATTTTTGGATAATATAGAAATGTCTAAGGTAAAGTGAATGAAAATAAAGAACCAAGATATAAAAATGAAAAAATACAAACGAGATTTCTACATGGCCTTTGAAGAAATACAGAAATATTATTATGCTTGCAAGACACCTCTTTTAGAACTTATAAAAATCTATCCTGAAATGTTAAAAGTAGCCCTAACAGTAACAGCTCTTCCTCCTGCTCAAGTTAGTGTGGAAAGACTCTTCTCAGCTCTGAAGTTTATCAAATCGGATCTATGGCCCTCCAACAAAGATCTTGCGAAGCTATACTGTTTCTTAGAAATAACTAATGCCAGTTTTTACATTTCATAATAAATGCTAATTAATATAAATAATTTGCTATGCCATCAGTCCCCCCTCCCGTAGCATCTATTACTTCTTTTATATTAAAAAATAAGCTGTAATCCATGTGTAATGTTTACATTATATATATATATGAGGGAGGAGTCAAATCGGACTCAATGGTACATCACATTCTTGGACTCATGGTACCAAACCAAACTCAATGGTACATCACATTCTTGGAACTGATTAGAAAGTGACAGATCAAATAACATGCTTCTCAGTTTAAAAAATTTTAATTGATCATTAATATTTTCTTATAAAATTCAAAATTTACTCTTTGGGAAGGTAAAATGGAAAAAAAAAAAAAAAAAAAAAAAAAAATATTATTAACTTACACATAATCTAAAATTATTTTGATAGCAGTTGTCAATCCAATTTTGGTCTGATCGCCTTTAAAAAGTTTCCTAAAATTAGAATGCTGCAATTTTGATTGTTAAAATCAAGTGCTCTAACGTATCAATTTTCAATGTCCAAATGTTTAACCCATTTGACATTATATTTTAAAATGTTTACCTTCATCAGCAAAATCAGAGTTCAAACAGGTTCTTGGTATATAGCTTGTCTTCGTAAAGAGAGGCCTCTGTTAATGATGACTTTTCATAAGACTAATTATCTCTACTTCTTTTAATAGTTATGTTCTGCCAAATCTGCCTCCTTTTTTAAAGCTTTTGATGTTCAGTAAAAACATTTTACATTTAAAACATTAAAAGCATAAGAAAAATGTTGTAACATTTGCATTATAAGATAGTCAGAACAAAAACAATTATCTTTTGTAAATTTTTGCACATTTGCAATGCTCTAAACCTGCATCTCAAATTTCTTTCAAGTGGGAGCCATATTTATAAATAAGAATGTTCTGTAGACCACCTTATTCTTGTCCTCTTCAAAGTTACTACCAGTATAGTTGCATTTTTTAAATACATTTAGTCAAAATTCATTTAATTTTATATTAGTGTTAATTAATTTAACAGAAGAAAATTCATATTCCTTTTTAATAATTCAAGGCTGTTAAGAGTTTGGATAATCTTTAAGTTATTAATTAAAAATTCAACAAGTGTTGGTACTCACACTAATGAGATTGATGAACCTACTGATTCTTGCACAGCTGTGCAGTTCCAATGTAATGCTCGTAAGCTTATGCCTGACATCAGCACAAAGATCAAGTCAATTTCCTTTCTCATACAAAGACGTAGAAGTAACTTAATTTTAATTTAAAGCACCACTGTACAGTTTACTATATTCCTTGCTAATTAACTCAGTGGTGACAATATTGTTTTAAATTTCTGTTTTATTGCTAGCACTAGAGTGGGAAGCCCATAAGAAGGGTAACCAGTAATAAATTTCACAAAATGTTGATCTTGGGGAAAAAAGTGACAGACCATATAGTTTACAAACTTTTGAAACTTTCAGGTATAGAATTGTATACACAGTAATTTGCATATTATTCTTTAGAACCCTGGGAAGATCATAAGGGCAGGCTTCGAGGACCACAGTTTTGAGAAATGCTCTAAACCAATTTGATTTCATTCACAGAAAAGAAAAATAGAACAGTCTGCATCCCAAGACTCAAGCAGGAAACAAGAATAATGCAGTTTCTGTAGCATTTCTCGCAAGAAGAATCACGTGGTTTTCGAATTAAGGATCGAGACCTGTTGACTTGTAACCCTCAACAAGTATATTTGAATATATTGAACCACCAAAAAAAATCTGTAATTTTTCAAACCTAAGCACATTTACTTCTAATTATTTTGTTTCTGCTGATAAGGATTGACTTTTACTGAAGCAGATACAGTCAAAAGTCGTTAATACGGACTCGTCGGGACTTCGGCGATTCCGGATTATCGATTTTTTTTTTTTTCTTTTTTTTTTTTTCTTTTTTTTTTTTTTTTTTTTTTTTTTTTTTTTTCCTTTTTTTTTTTTTTTTTTTTTTTTTTTTTTCCGGATTATAGATCATCAGTTTAAATCTCGTAAGATGGCAAGCAGAAATTCTAAAATTAAAAATATGAAACTGTAATTTATGAAATAAAGAACAATTATGATCTAAAGGGTATCAAAATTTACAAAAAAAAAAAAAAAAAAAAAAAGCTTAATATTTATTTGTTTACTTTATTAAACATTTCTTTCAATGTAAGTTGTTTAAGTTGCTTCGTTTTATGTGATAATACTTTCTCTTTAATTCAATAAACAGACATAACTTCTTGTTCAGTTACAAAGTTCCGCTGTTCAAGTCCCATAATTGCTTTGCCGAGAATACCGACTAACTTGTCAATCGAAATTTTTTTCGTTTTCACCTTCTGTCACCTTTTTCTCTCTGTCACCTTCTTCATGTCTTTATCCATTTTTTGCAGCAATTCCACTTTTTGTTTGATGGACATCGAAACATACTTTCGTTTTGTAGATCCTTTGGGAGCTCCAGCATCGGAAATTCTGTTTGACATAACCGAAAGTTCAAGTTTACTTTTTTAGTATTGCTCTTACAGTCTGCAAAAAAATAATAAGCCAATTCGAAGATTAAGGAACAACGCAATCATCAACATTAACTGAAATAGATAATTAGATAATTTTAGCTTATACCGTTCGTTATACATAAAGCGCACAAAGCGAAAATGTATTCTGCACTTGCGCACATGCATATGCGCAGTCATAAAGGTCTTACGCGCACGCGTAAACGCCTATGCGCATATGTCAACGCGCACATGCGCAGAAAGTTTTTAGCTTTGAGGTCCGAATTAACGACTTTTGACTGTATTTGAACACAGTTTTTTCTGTCATATTTAGCATGCGTGTTTTCTGTCAGTTTAACATTGTGTTGCAGCATAACTTTTTGTTTCAGAGCAGTGCTTACAAATGGAAAGCTTAAGGTTTCATTTTTGTCACCTTATCCTCTTGAAAAAAGGAAAAAAAATGCTATTCAAATTATTTGTAAAATTTATGTTGTATATGAAAAATGATGTTTCTGATGACATAGTTCAAATGTGATTTGAGAAGTTTAAGTGCAAAAATTTTAGCCTTGAAGCTCATGCTTGTTCTAAACAACCATCTCCTGTAACCAAAAACAAAGCTACTGCTAAAAATTTTATGATGTACAGTTCAAGAACTATCAGACAAGCTAAATTTTATAAGATGTACAGTGCATGATCGTTTGAAGAAGACTAGATAAGCAAGTTGTTACAATGTATGTGTATCCTATATTTTAAGAGCAGAATATGCATGCTTGAGTTTCGCATGTGATTCTTGGCTGAAAAGAATTAAGAAGCTCCTCTTTTGAAATGACTCATTAATGAAAATGAGAAGTGGATGCTAACAAACAATAATGTTATAACATTATCTAACATTATTCTAACAACTAAACAATAATGTTAGAACAAAAAGATCATGGAGTAAGCCAAAAGAATTTCCTATAGCAACATCAAGAAAGGGACGCATTCCAAAAATGTAATACTTTGTTTATGGCAGAACTATAAAGAAACTGCATGCTGAATTTTTGTCAACAAATTACACAATAAATTATAAGACACACTGTTCTCAAATGGCAGTTTTGAAGCTTTGCATCCAAAACTGACCAGTTGTCAAAGTGCTGACTTTTATCATGACAATGCTCAGCCCTACATTTCACTGAATTTCAGAGATTAATTGAGTATGGTTAGGA